AGCTTGCAGGGCCCCTTTCCTGGCGATGCTGCCCTGGGGCGATGGGGCTGGGGCTGTCCCTGCAGATGGTGGGATGTCCCATGGGGACAGGGCTGCATGTCCCTCTCCCTGGTCCCCTTGTGGGTGTTTGGGCCTGGACACTGACTAACCAAAGGTGAAGGTGTGGACCGTCGTGTGCATGGCGCACTGACCCCCCCCAGCCTCCCACTTCCCTCTGCCTTCTCCCAGCAGCAGGGCGCTGTCCCCGATGTCCCTGCCGCCTTCCTCTCCAGAATGGCTCAGCTGAGCCCAGGGCTGGCTCCTGGCTCCAGCCCTTCCCAGGCAGTGCCGGTGCCGGTGCCACTGGTCCCCAAGGCAGAGCAGCTGTCCCCCACGTCGGTGTGTGGTGAGTCTGCAGCACCCCAAGGAGCTCCACAGGACACTGCGTTTCCTGCAGGGAGCTTGGACCAAACACTGTGGGAATGTTTCATTTCAGTTTCAATCCCAGTTATTTCCATTTACCCAGTGGATCATGGCTGATTTCTTTCCACGGGGGAGGGCATAGCCCCTTCATCTGCCTCCTTCTCCAGGGAAAAAAGCAGAAACAGGAAAAGACAAAAAAGAGCAAAATGTCAGACTGTGGTTTTGAAAACCCAGAGCTTGGTTTTCAAGTGGGAAGCACCCTGCTTTCACCCGCAGAAACCAGAGCGGTGGTTGGAAAGCAGGCTCTGGTGTTGTTTCCAGTTTCAGTTTGGTGCTGCGGACTGCAGTCTTGCTGCCCTCAGGACTCTCTCCTGGTGATTTCCACCCCAAAAAATGATGGGAGTTTAAAATGTCATATTCCAAACGTTCCCATTTCTAAGCAGTTGTAAAATGAGTGGGATTTGGGACAAGACAAAGTGATAAGACGTGGTCAGATGCTGGCCCAGAGCATCCCTGTTAGCTGAGCAGAGTGGCGGTCCTGGGGCCGGAGTAGTGCTGCAGGCTGCTCCTCTCCACCCATCCCAGTGTGAGACCCTGGTGTCAGCCTGTCACGAGGGGCTGCTGCTGCTGCTGCCCCTCTCCCCAGAGCATCACCTTTCCTTTTCCAGGCAGCGACTTGCCCAAGCCCGGCCAGGCTTCCCCAGGACCTGCTGTGGGGCTGGGCACTGGCATCTCCCTGCACCATCCTGTGTCCCGTCAGGGCAGGCCCGGGTCCAGCAAGGTACAGCAGGAGCAAGCGTTGCCTTCACTATGGGGGCACCATCTCCACACGCACGCCCCTTTCCTGCTGCCCCCTGAACTCCACCCCACTGGCTGCAAGGTTTGGGCCAGCCCGACCCTGATGGGACAGGTGGCCCAGGGCTGTCCCCACTGCAAGGAGATGCCTGACAGCACTTGCCCACAGATGCAGAGTCGCCGCATCACGCACATCTCTGCTGAGCAGAAGAGACGCTTCAACATCAAGCTGGGCTTTGACACACTGCACAGCCTGGTGAGCACGCTGAGCGCCCAGCCCAGCATCAAGGTGAGTGCCCAGGGACACGGTGTGTCACCCGGGTTTTGCCGCCGTGCAGAGAGCTCGAGACCCACACGGTGCAGCTGTGCCAAGGTGCTCTGGGCTCTGGAGCCTGTAGCAGAAGCCACCAAAGCTCGGCAGTGAGGAACACCGCACCTTGCGCTGCCAGCCCCATTGCATGAAGCGCTGGGTGCCTCATGCCCTGCCCACCCCAGGGGCTCCCTTTGTCATCTCACCCCTGTGGCCCCACAGGTCAGCAAGGCCACCACCCTGCAGAAGACAGCCGAGTACATCTGCAAGCTGCAGCAGGAGCGGGCAGCCCTGCAGGACGAGGCACAGCGGCTGCGGGAGCAGATCGAGGAGCTCAATGGCTCCATCAAGTAAGAGGGGCACAGCCGGGGAGGTGGGAGGGAGCCACTACCTGCCTCGGGGTAGCCAGGCAGGGCAAGCGGCAGCGCCAGGGAGGCAGTGGGACACAGCAGTTCTGAGTGCCTCCCAGGACCTGGATTTGACCCTGTCCTCCCTCAAACCCTGTTTTGGGGGTGGGATGCTCAAGAGGCAGTGCTGTGTGGGGCCATGCCCTACAGCTGGCCTGGGAGGGGGACATTTCCCATTTCCTGCCCACCCCTGCTGAGAGCTGAGGTCCTGCCAGAGCCTCTCTCCACAGGGCAGCCCCTGCAGCTCCCGGCCTCCCAAACATGGATCCACAGCACTGCCTGTACCCCACAGCCTGTGCCAGGAGCAGCTGCCGGCCACGGGGGTGCCCATCACACGCCAGCGCTTCGAGCAGATGCGCAGCATGTTTGACGAGTACGTTCGCTCCTCCACGCTGCAGAACTGGAAGTTCTGGATCGTATCCTTTGGGGCCGGTGCCTGCTGTTTGCCATGATCCCTCTACCGAACACCAGGTCTTCTGGTTAACCCACTCCTCCCAGGTCTGTGGGGATCCTCCAGCTTGAGAGGCTCTGGGGACCACAGGAGACATTTCCAGTCAAGGGCACATGGTGGGAAATATGCACAGATGCCTTGGTTAGGAGGAAGCTTCTGTTACAAGGATGCAAACAGAGTAGGAATAAATGGTTGGTCCTCAGGGAAAAGGGAAGACACCAGCAGAGCTGAGTTCATGCAGGGAAGAGCTCCTGGTGACATGGGAACTGTCTCTGAGAGGCAGCAGCCATCAACTAGGGATTAGATAGAAAGCTGGGGGCATGTTGGTTTGGCCTTGGTGGCCATGTGCCACACTGGGACACAAGTCTGGGCTCCATGTGTTGGAAAGGATGGAGGGGACCAAGGGACAGGGAATGGGCAGCCAAAGGGCTGGACCTGCTTCTCTGTAAGCAGGGATTAGACACAGTGGGAACATTAAGCCTTGGGAGGCTGTGAAGTCTACAAAATCCCAAGTGGCAGAGGGATGGGCAGGCTGTGCTGCCCACAGTCCGATCCAGCGCAGGCAGCCTGGGCAAGGCAGAGATGGCTCCTGACACAGAGTTTGGGAGAGCTGGGGAGCTCCTTCCACAGGACACTGGGGATGCTAAAGCTGACATGGGCTCCAGGACATGCTCGTGGTGGAGGTATCTGCTGTGGATCACTACATGCACAAAATCACCAGTCCCCAGTGGTGGTCCCTGCAGGCTGGGAGCACCAGGGCAGCACACCGGACACACTGGTGTCATGCCCTGCTCCTGGGCACTTCAGAGGACGCTGTGCTAGCTGGATCCTTGATCTGCTCTGGAAGAGTTGTCTTGTGGCTGATCAACCCTTTCTGGCAGCCCCAGTCGTGATGGGGGTTACGCAGCTCTCCCAGTGCCTGCCCTGGGAGACACACAGGTCCCCATCACCCCAGTAGCATGGGCTGGTGCCCAGCATGGTGCTGTGCTGAGGAAGGCACCCAGGTCTGCCCCATGGCTGGGCAGAGAGGTTTGTCCTGCTGCCTGGAGGAGGGTGCTGCCCACACCTGGCAGGTGGGAGACTGGTCTTGGCAAGGCTGGTCCTTAACTCCTCTGCTGCCATCAGTTCAGTATCATCATCCGGCCCCTCTTCGAGTCTTTCAATGGCATGGTCTCCACAGCCAGCATGGAGAGCCTCACCCAGACGTCTCTCGCCTGGCTGGACCAGCACTGCTCCCTCCCAGCGCTTCGGCCGAGTAGGTGGCCCTGCTCCTGTCCATGGCACCCTGAAGAAGCCAGGCTGGCCAGCTGGCATGGACTGACAGAAAAGCAGAGGGGAAAAGGACAGGCGGTGGTAGGGCTGGTGCTGCACCACGCTTCTGCTGCACGGGAGGGAAGCACCCGCAGGATGTCCTCGGGCTGCATGCTTCATGCTTTTCCACACTCCTTTTGCTTCCATGCTCCAGCTGAGCTGGCTGCTGCTGCCCTAACCCCAGCCCATGTCCTGGCACGGCAGAGCTGAGCCCTCCCCAAAGCCCCACAGGGTGGGTTTCCCTTCACCTTTTCTGCTGGGGGCTGTGGTAGGGAGCTGTTGTGCTGTTCCAGGG